TAATCTATATACAGTAGACGTATATCAGTACAATTATATCAAAATTATATCAACGCATGTTTATCTGATATATGAATATTAATTCATAATCTGATGAAGTGCTATAAATTAAAACTGATTTCGCCGTTTTCTATGAAATAGGAGAGTGACCCCGAGTGGCGGGAAGGCGAGTTCACAGAATGTGGGAAATGGATGGATGGATGGGAGACTCGCAGAAAAAGAATTCCGGGCCATGATTGGTGCATCATCAAGCTTGGTAAGAGACACGCGAAATGGACAATATGATGATGAAAAAAAGATAAAAAAAAAAAAAAAAAAAAAAGAACAAACATAATTTTTAGACAAATTGCTGTGAAAATGCAAATCTAAAAACAGGAATAAATAGACTTTTTTTTCTTTACTAATTTCTAATCTTTTCCCCTTTTTTTAGATTTGCATTTTCACAGCAATTAGAATCGAAGATTTGATTCTTCAATCACACACACAAATTCCCCAAATCCCAAATCCTATAAATTACTAAAATAAACACCACATAAAACACAAGTAAACGTTTAAAAATGTCGGGAAATTTTGCCAATTTTCAGGGGTACCCGGTATCATCGCGGGAATCGACGCCGACACGTCATTCTTCACAGGGAACTTTGTCCCTCGCGTGTCCCTCCAGGGCGCCGTGCTGTCTCCTCAAGGTCGGTCTGCGGCTCAAGTTTTCATTCCCGTACGAGACGAAAAACAACAATAATGATAAATGATGATAATGAATTTAGATAAAACATGATAAGGAAATTAAATAAAGCAGATCATGAAATAGCGAACAGTGGTGAATGATAATTTGAAATAATAGAATGATGAAAAAGATAATTGACGATAAAATAAGTCAATATAACATTTTCATTCTCATAAGATTTCATAAAATACATGTCTACTCACCTGCACTGACTATACGTATACATGACTGAATGTGAAACTCTATGTGCGCGCGCGTGTGTGTGTGCGTGTGTGTGTGTGTGTGTGTGTGTGTGTGTGTGTGTGTGTGTGTGTGCATCCATGTGCGTGCGTGTGTGTCTGTATATGTATGTATCTGTGTGTGTGTGCGTGTGTGTGTGTGTGTGTGCGTGTGTGTGCATATGCGTGTGTGTGCGTGTGCATGTGCGTGTGTGTGCGTGCATGTATGTTTAACTCCTCTACTCCTCCGCAGATGAAGCCAAAATCCCGCCCAGAAAGAGTGAAATTGGCACCCAGGCCTGCGAGGGAGTGCTCGAACAGGTGTCACAGCTGAACAGCCAGGTAATTAGGGGACCTTCTTCGTCAGTTGGAAACAAAGGACTGAGGACTTCGCATATTTACTTTCTTTTTCTTTCTTTCTTTCTTTTTTACGGAAATGTATGAAACTGCCCTAAACTATCCTGACAAAATAATGGTGCAGTTAATAGTAATATTAATAATGATAACAATAATACTGCTGATAACTGAGGACAATAATAATAATATTGATATCAATGTTGATAAAGATAATAGTAGTATAAAATAGTTAAGATGATTATAATGATAATAATAATAGTAAAAATATTGATTATGATAATAATGATAATAATGATAATAATAATGATAATAAAGATCATAATGATAGTGATAATGATAAAAATGATGATAATGATAATAATGAAAATTATAATGATAATAGTGATAACGATGAGGATAATGATGATAATGATCACAATGATATGAAAACTATTGGTAATGATGTTAATAACGATTATGAATATTTGAAAATGCGATAAGGGCAGTTATCAAGAGCATTACCATTGCAATTTCTCATAATCATTATCATTAACACTCATTAATCTTATCATAATCATTAATATAATGATAAAGATAAGAACAAGAAAATCAGTGATACGGAAGCTTAGATAAAAAGATGTGACCAAATACGAAAATACTTCCCTTACCCTCTCCCCTCTCCCCTCTCCACCCTCCCTCTATCCCTTCTTCCTTCTCTCCCTCTCCCACTCTTTCCCATCCCCCTTTCCCCTTCCTCCCTTTTGCCCCTTTCCCCTCTCTTCCTCTCCTCCCCTTTTCCCCCCCTTCCCCTCTCTTCCTCTCCCCCCTTTCCCTACCCCCATTCACCCCTCTCTCCCTTTCTTTCTTTTCCCCTCCCCCTTCCCCACCCCTTTCTTTTCCCCCTTCCCCTCCCCCACCCCACCTACCCTTTCCCCTCCCCTCTCCCCTTGTCTCTCCTCCCCCCCTCTCCCCCTCTCCCCTCTCCCCTTCCTCCTCCCCCCTCTCCCCCTTACCTCCTCCCCCTTTCATCCTACCCTCTCCCACCACCTCCCCTTCTCCTCCCCCCACCCACCCCTCTCCAGAACTGGCCGTTCCTCGTCCCTCTAACGGAAGCTCGACCCGGATATATGAAGACACATGCACACGTACATCGAGGCGACGGTCAAGGAGGCTGGACACACGTTCGGCTCAACATATACCCTGACGGTGGCATCGCGAGGCTCAGGGTGTTCGGGAGTGCCACGCCGGATTGGTCCAAGGTGCCAAAAGGGAAGGTGAGGTTCTCGCGTCGAGAGTTGGGTCGGGGGGGGATGGGAAAGGGGGAGGGGGAGGGGGGGGAGGGGAGGGGAGGTGATAGGGTTGTTTGTGGCGGGAGTGGGTAGACGTTGTCTGATTGGTTGATTTTTGTTTTGTTTTGTTTTCTTGTCTTGTTTTATCTTGTTTTTATTTTGTTTGTTATCTTGTTTTGTTTTTTCTTTTCTTTTTTTTGTTTCTTTCCGCTTTCTGTCTCTGGATCATCAGTCTGTTTTTCATTTCTGCTGCTCGTATTTTTCTGTGTCTGACCGTACGTATGTTTATCAATCCTCTCTTTCTCCTTTTTAAATACCTTTCGCCCACCCCCTCCGCCCCTTTGTAACGTATATCTCCCCTCCATCCCTTATAACTTCTCTCCGCCCCCTTATAACGCCTCTCGCCCACCCAGCTGATCGACCTGGCGGCTGTAGAGAACGGGGGCGTGTGCCTGGAGTACAGCGACGCCCACTACGGCCACCCACGCAACCTCATCAGCCCAGGGAGGGGCGTGACGATGGCCGACGGGTGGGAGACGGCCAGGAGGCTCGATCGGCCCGCGGTGTTGGAAGGTGGGTGCCAAGGTCTATATAAGTACAGGTCTCGTCACTTCGGAGTTCTGCGCAGCTTTGGGTGATAAGGCCTAATACGTCACTTGGAGAGTATGACGTCACTTGGAGAGAGCTGAGGGCAAGGGGGGCGGGGGGGGAATTAGCATGGTAGGGTGGGAGGGAGATAATAGAAACGGTGGTAAATGAGCTGATACTTAAGTACTTATATAGACCTTGGTGGGTGCAGTCCTGTTGCAGTCCGTCGGTCGGGGGTCGGGAATGGAATGGGGGGGGGGGGGGGTTGCATAGGGTGCCGGAGTGCAATCCGATTTTTTTTTTTTTTTTTTTTTTTTTTTTAGCCTTTACCATTTCATGATTTTTGAAGTAATCTTGTAAATGATCGATACCTTTCCTTCTTTACAGAGGAAACTAGATCTTTAAAAATAGATAGATAAATAGATAGATAGATAGACTGAATGATAGATAGAGATAGAGATTGAGATTGGTAGATAGATACACAGATATAGATATAGACAGATAGATAGGTAGATATGGATGTAGATAGATAAGTAGATAGGCAAATATAGATAAATAGATGTGTACATATATGCAAGTATGTATCTGTGTATGCATATATAAACAAATAATTGAAGAAAAATAAATTGATGGACAAGTAAATGAATATACCAATTAAGTAATCAGAAAATGGATATACAAACAGTTGAAGAAAAATAAAATGAATAGAAAAAGATGAAGTAAATTGTAAAAAAAAAAATAATAATATAAATAATAATAAAAAAAAAAAAAAAAAAAAAAAAAATCAAAATGACCCCCCCCCCCTCCGCCCCTTTCCCCTCCCAGCCGACGCCCGCGGGGTGCTCCAGGTACCGGGCTTCGAGTGGGCGGTGCTGCGCCTGGGTCACCCCGGGGTCGTCTGCCAGGTGGAGGTCGACACCCACCACTTCAAGGGCAACTTCCCGGACTCCTGCAGGATCGACGGCTGTCTGCTTCAGGAGGGCGAGGACTCTACTGTCTCCCTGGGCAACGACGAAGGACTATGGAGGAGTATTTTGCCACCGCAGAAGGTCAGTGACGGGGAGGGGGAGGGGGGAAGGTATTCGAATTTTGGCGGGATGTTTTTTGGTGTATTTGTTATCTGAGGGATCGTGTGTCTAAGATTTTACATATAAGCAGTCATGTAGTAAATTAATGAGGAATATACAGGTTGTTGTTAATAAAATGGTGAATATTTACAAATATAACTATTACTAGAAGGATAAACATAACTAAATTAGAAGAAAAAAATATTAGCTTACCTTAAGAAATTAAATATATCAAGAATACACGTTGAAACGCTAATTCATTTACTTCCAAGTTAAATACAAAACCATTTAATTGCAGACGAATTAACCGTAATTCCATATCCTTTCAGCTAAAAGCCCACGCCCGCCATTTCTACTCGTCGGAAGTGGAAAATGTCGGACCGATCTCTCACGTGCGAGTCGTAATGGCGCCCGACGGAGGCATAAGTCGCGTGAGGTTGATCGGGACGTTATTTTCACTGGCGGCTAAACTCTGAAAACTTTGGTTTGTTTGGAATTGGTTTGCATTCAGAATGGTAAAAAAATAGTACTGATGTGTGTTTTTTTATTATTGTTATTGTTATACTTTAAAATTCAGTCTTGACAAACTTTGAGGAATATTTTATTTTCACCGGAGGCCAATCTCTGAAAATTGGTGGTTCCACAGTAATTCTTGGTTGCATATATGAAATAAATTCAGAGTTGATATATTTTTTATTGTTATACTTTAAAATTCAATCTGATAGACTTGTTTTTGACGAATCAGAACTGGGAAGGTTAGACCAGTAGGAATTCGAGG